CACATGTTATTCTTTAACGTGCGATTGAATCGCTCGACGACCGATGCTTTCAACACCGAATATGTGGAATAATGATTGATGTTGTGTTTCCTCACGAGATGTTGCACGTCGGTGTTGTAGGCATCGGTCGTCGAGCGATTCAATCGCACGTTAAAGAATAACATGTGGAAGATGTTTACGTTCAACGGAACTTACAAGTGGATCGACGAGCTACCGCGTCTCATCGCGGAGTACAACGCGCGCAAGCATCGAACGATCGGCATGCGGCCTGTCGACGTTACTCCTGCAATCGTTAAAAGACTCTTAACCACGGTGTACAGTGCGATCAAGATCGCCAGGTTTGACAAAGTTCAAAGTAGGCGAGCGGGTACGCGTTAGCAAGCACAAGACAATTTTCGAGAAGGGTTACACACCAAATTGGAGCACCGAGGTGTTTAAAATCGTTAAAGTGCAACACACTAATCCAGCAACCTATCTGCTGGAGGACTATCGCGGAAAATCTATCGCTGGAGCGTTCTATGAGCACGAGTTACATCGCGTGGCTTACCCGGACACGTATCTCGTGGAGAAAGTACTGCGCAGGAGGGGAGACGAGGTCTACGTGAAATGGCTGGGATTCGATGGATCGCACAACTCATGGATACACAAGGACAATGTTATTTAATTCATGCAGATCGTTTTTTAAAACATATGAAAAATAAACTATGTAAGAAATATTAAATAGATACACGTACAATATTTTTATTAATATCCCTTCCAACAATATAATATACGTTACATTACCTTACTTTATGTTACATTACATTACGTTACCATACATACGTACATACATTACATTACTTTACGTTATACTATTACATTTTATACATACAATACACTACGTTTTCGGAGGAGGTATTTGATAATGTCCCCACGGTAACGTATCGATCAAATCGGGTATAATGTATCGCTTATCGTCGTACGGACTCAGAGCGATTTTCGTCTCGCGGATGGTGTGCACTTCATGCAATTTTGATCTTATACAGAACTGCTGTCGCGTCATTTCAATTTCGTCCTTCAGACACCGCGTGTAATCGTCGAACGTTAT